CAAATCCTTGTTTAATATTGACCAAACATTTAATATCAAATATACACTTAATTTTTAATTTTTGGTCACCGTTTTGCGATAGAAATGCTACAGCCTTTTTAATTTCTTCAACAAAAACATGTGGACATCACAACCCTTACCAAAATTAACCATGGTTTTATCGTAGTAAAACTGCTTAATTTTATTTTGTGTAATTTCTGAATGCTTGAGACCATAAAATCAATCAGACAATGGTATTAATAAAATCATAGCCATCTAGAGCTACAATTGTAATTTATAAATAATACAATTGAATTACAATGTATTTATTTACTTTTATATTTGATTCAAGTTCTATTTTGACCCCTTATAGTAGGTGTTTTTTTTTTCTTCTTGAGGGAGTGGGCACAACAATATTATTCTGCTTAGGGCACCCATTTGGCCAGCAGCGTCCCTGTCTCTTTGACTTGTTGGATGGAAACAATGCTTGTTTGCAAATGTTTTATGCGATATTCCAGTTTTGTGCATAAGTTAAATTCGCAACTTTGGATTGAAACCCGGTAGTGACACACTGGGGACAAGCATTTGAACAATGAATGTAGGAAACACTACGGACTGGATTCGAATCCGGGTCGCTGCGACACTTTATTAGATGCGCCACCAAAGCAGACACGTGCTGGGAAAAACTGCTCACTGTTTCAGTGAATGCAGATGGAGTAAAACCTTCCGTAACATTTCTCTGCCCGTTGTCTCTGCGCGCTTCAACTCTCAATGCACTGCAAAAATGTTTCTAATGTAAAACACCATGAAAGGATTTTGCGGTTTGACGGTCTTGCAGTATGCTGCGGATTTAAATGTGACGCATGAATAGAAATTATTTTACATTGTTACTTTTCATGCAGTTAACGTCAAGTCAAGTCAAGTCAAGTTTATTTGTACAGCGCTTTTCACGATACAAATCATTGCAAAGCAACTTTACAGCAAATTAAGTTTCTACAATATTTAGTGGTAGCTTATCAGTGGTGACTGTCAGTTAATGTACATATGGCAGAAATGTACGGAAAAATCAATTTAAGACGTAATAAAAAAGACGATGAACACTATTAACAGCAATTATAAAATAATTAAATGTGCAAAATAGCAAAATGTGGTAGTTCTGTATGATGTTTCAGGGTTGGCATCATCTGAGCTCCTCTGAGGGGTTGGCATCATCTCTTCTCAGGTGTTCTAGATCCAGACTGAAGCTTGTGTAAATCCCCGTGGCAAAAACAGAGAAACAAATAGAGACATAATTAGCGTAGCTGCTGTTCCAACCAAGCAAAATTGATTTGTTTAACCCAAACTAAAGAATAATAATAATGTGCAACAGTGAGTGAGACAAAAATAATATACTCTGGTATCAAAACTCCATCTTTATCTAAATATAAAATGATAAGATATCATTTTATAAAACTATAAAATTTAAAATAAAAAGCAGCATTTTGAAGACTATTTATGTTCTATTTAATGTGGTAATAGCAAATCATTTTTATGGTATTTTGTGAATAAACAATGGCAAAACAAAAAACATCTGCCGTTATATTAAATAATGGAATGCTAATTTGAAAACAATGAATTGAATAAATTATATATCTTCCATTCTGTGCCATAGCCAATCAAGGATTACTTGAAAGGATTGTTCACCAAAAAATTACTGTCATCTACTCACCACATACTTTTTTCATACACTATCATATACCTTCAGAAGACGTGAAATATACTCTTTTTGGAGCTTGACAAGACCATGGTAAACATAAACTGTCATTGTATGGAAAAGCAGTCTGGACGTTCTGCTAAACATTCTTTTGTGTTTACCTGAAGGAAAAAAAATCATACTTGGTTTGACTGACATGGAGAGAGGAAGACAGAACTATTGTGAACTATTGTGTAAATAATTTCTTTAAATAATAAAGTCATTTTCTTTTCTTGGTTGCACAGTTAAGTAGAAATTAAAAGTTTATTTCAACACCATGGTCATTTTAAATATCGTCATATGCCATAAACAAATTACCTACAGTAAGACATTGCAAAAATACAAAAATAATGTAATTTACTCAGTGAAATTTAAATGCTTGGCTAAAGCTGTAATCTCAAAAGAGAATTCTATGTAAATAATCCTAAAGCATGCACAATCTCATGTACAAATAATATAAATATTTACATACATTCAACATGAATGCAATCTTACTCTTGGTTAAAATTAAAGCGCAATGAACTGGTGTTATGTTGTTTTGAAAAACGTCCCCAATCCAGACATTTTTAGACTGGAAAAATCTTTCAAATCCTTGTTTAATATTGACCAAACATTTAATATCAAATATACACTTAATTTTTAATTTTTGGTCACCGTTTTGCGATAGAAATGCTACAGCCTTTTTAATTTCTTCAACAAAAACATGTGGACATCACAACCCTTACCAAAATTAACCATGGTTTTATCGTAGTAAAACTGCTTAATTTTATTTTGTGTAATTTCTGAATGCTTGAGACCATAAAATCAATCAGACAATGGTATTAATAAAATCATAGCCATCTAGAGCTACAATTGTAATTTATAAATAATACAATTGAATTACAATTTATTTATTTACTTTTATATTTGATTCAAGTTCTATTTTGACCCCTTATAGTAGGT